TTTGAGTTCATCCCTTGAGTCTGTGAGTCCTGCATTTTGAGTCCTCATCTCCTGCCTGCCACATGGCGTTTCATGACACAAAGACTTTCTGCTGTGACTGGTTATTATACTTTTAGCTGTATCTTACACTTTCCTGACAATAGCACTGCAGCCCTGAACTTTTACAGATACCACCTGATAAAGGTCTGGGTACTCTTGAACCAGTATTAGCCGGTCTTCAGCCTGCCCCTGTTGTTCTGTTCTGTGTGCCATCTTATTGCACTGATATGAAAATAGCGCAACAATTGTGTATTTAACAGTATCAAGTGAGAATCATGTGTGCTGTCTCCTGTTAAGGCTCTCCAGACTCCTTTGCCTGAAGCAAACACAGTATTATTAGTAGTATGAATGTACTTCAAGGGTGTTTTTTCCTGCTGTCCTTCATGTGAGAAAGGATAATTATCTAAAACTATATCTCATGAAATTGACTGAGGTTCATGTGTTAAATGGCTAAAGGCAGACAGCACCAGACTAGGCAAATAATCTTAAAAACACAATAACTGCACAAAAACTCCAAGTTAAAAGTCTTAGCAGAAAAACGATATTTGGTACAATCTATGCATTTTTGCCACATTTACATACTGAGCTGTAGACAATTTGAACTGCTTTCAGTATGTGTAACTCTTGGCTTTTGACTAAATTTTTTTCTTTGAGTGCACCGATCAAAGTTTGTTGTGGAAGACGAGACAAGAGCTGAATTTGTTACATTTCAGAAACGTATCAGCTGTCAAATGATGATATTTGCTGCTTTTTCTGTCAGTTATTTGAGCTCTGAGACTACACTCACTGACCACTTTGTTGAGTACACCCGTTCTGCACTTTAATGCAACTATCAGATCCACAGCCACATGGGAGCAACTCTTTGCATTTAGGCATGGTGGAAATAGAACTGAGCATCTAAATCTAAATGATTTAAGGGATTTTGAGAAGGTCGTTGTGACACACGACCCACAGATGGACACTTCTGCGTTTGAGAGTTTAACGGTGCTTTATTTACAGTCGTGAATTTCCCTGCGGTTTCTGGCTCCTGCCCCGGACGCAGCCACTCCGTCACTCCCTGTTGTCCCTCTTGCTCCTTCTCACTGCAAGACATAAGAAAAGTCTCTCCTCATCAAGTCAGTTCCGGGCACCTGCTCCTTCCCGCATCAGCGCCGTCCTGTGAGCTCACTGCGTCTCCCCTCCTCTGCAGCAGGCCAAAGAACACGCCCCCGCCACAGGCATGCTTCTTAGTGTCAGATGGGCTGGTCTAAGTGTTTCAGAAACTGGTGATCTACTGGGATTTTCCCACACATGTGTCTCTATGATTTACAGAGAATGGTCAGAAAGAGAAAACTTTCAGTGAGCGGTAGTTCTCTGGGTGAAAATGCCTTGCTGATACTAGAGGGTGATGTCCAGGCTGCTTTGAGATTGAAAAGTAACAGAAGAGCATTTCTGAATACACACAAAACACATTGAACCTTGAAGCAGATGGGCTAAAGAAGCAGAAGGCCAAACTTGGTACCACTACCATTAATTATGAACAGGAAACAGAGGCTACTATTTGCACCAAAATTGGACAAAAATGTTTCTTGGTCTGAGTCTTAATTTCTGCTACAGTATTCAGATGGTAGGGTCAGAATTTGTGATGAACAACATGAAAGCATGAATCATTCTGCTTTGGATTAACGGTTCAGACTGGTGCTGGTGGTATAAGCTGGTGGTGGTTGCTTCTAATGGGCCCAAAATGTGCCAAGAAAATATCCCTCACACCAAGTGTTATTTAAATGCCACAGCTTACCTGAGTATTGCTGCTGACAATGTCCATCCATCTCCTCATGGCTGCTTTCGGCAGTATAAGACGCCAATTTACAAAGCTGAGATCATCTCAAATTGATTTCTTTAACATGACAATGAGTTCATAGTACTTTTTAGGTCGGTACCCAAGTGTGTAAAATCACAATCAGTCACAATCTAAGTCATCCAGGCTACCCTTCAGTGGCAAAGCAATTTAAAAAAACCAAGCAGTAAAGTCAACAATCTCACTTTTAGCTACCAGGCAACCTTTGTGAATGCCTTTTCAACTGCTGGAGTGCAAAACAAACAAACACATGAGAACAGAGAGTCCTTCCAGCTGATCTGATAAAGCCCAAGGTTTCAGAGCTGATTTTGACAGAAATATGTTGGCTTTGTTCAATGTCATTTTTCATATTGCATTTTCAGTGTATTACATTTCATAATTTTATATTTAAATTAAATTGTTTTGTCTTGTACTCTTTGTTGCCTTTGCATGTGACTTTTTTCTTTCTTTCAGGCTGTATCAATCATCAACAGGGCACAAATTATCGATGATGCATTCAATTTAGCAAGGTAAAGACAAAGAAAAATCTTAAGTTAAAGTATTAAACAGTTATGTGTGAAAAAGCATCCTTTTCTTTTTCCCCAGAGCCAAAATAATCAGCACCACGCTGGCTCTGAGAACTACCAAATACCTGTCAAAAGAGCGAGACTACATCCCCTGGGAGTCAGCTTTGAGAAACCTCAACTACTATATTCTCATGTTTGACCGCAATGAAGTCTACGGTGTTTTGCAGGTTAGCCCTACTTTAGTTTACATGCTAATTATTATTCTTGCCTATTGTGAGTGTTTAAAGTAAAAGAGTCAACTGACTGGAAAAAAACTAACTCTAACTTTTATTTTAGGCATACCTTAAGAAACAAATACAACCTCTATTTGAGCATTTCAAGACAATTACATCTAACTGGACAAGAGTACCTACAGGACACACCGACCAGTAAGGGCTCTTTTAAACACAGATTTTTGATATAAAATCAAAAAGCTAAGATTTTGTATATATTGTTTGTCTCTGTAAAAAAATTTTCTCAGGTATAATCAGATAAATGCTATTGGGATAGCCTGCCGTGCGGGAGTGGAAGGCTGTAGGGAGCTTATAAAAAGCTGGTACAGAGAGTGGATGAAAAATCCAAGTCGCAACCCGTGAGTACAAAGTAGTTTCAATCTGTTCTTTTGAGCCCATGAAAGTTCTCATTAAGGCTTTTATATCTGTCTTTTACTACTCAGTCTTGGCAAATCTTGGCAGTCACAGGTGTTTTTGGGGTTAGGTGGTTATGATGCAGCTCATAACCAGCAGATTTTAGAAACAAGACCTGTAATTAGTGTAATGGGTCAGTTCAATATCAGGACAGTAAGGGCATGTGCAATACTGGAGCTTGTGCAATATAATTGATGTGTTTCCGTTATTGTTATCTATATTGTCCTCTGTGTCCACTCTTCATGTCATTGTTTGTTCTAGTATAATGTGATCACTGTTTTTGTCCTTGTCACATGACCTGTAACTAGTGTCTCTGTATGCTTTTACTAACTTGTGTTTAACATCAACCTGCCAGAGGTTCTGCAGATGGAAATTAGCCCAAGGCTATAATCTGGCATTTTTACATTTCTTAAAATGTTCATTAATATGTATTGCCCCTCTTTCTAAATAAAATAAAATAAATAAATACATTTAAATTAATGCATCTTCATAGTTACAAATCCAGCAGATCATGACATGCAAGAAGATATGTCATCCCCATGCCGACCTCAGACATGCCACACTTTGTCAGACACTGACAATTTGCAATTGTCCAAAGACTCTTGCCCTGGCCACTGCAAGAGCAGTAAGGAATTTAGAGCGGTGTGAGAATGAATATTTCTTATAATCTGTCATAATTCAGACCTCTTAAATTTGACTGCTGTTTACTGTTTACAAAACATAGCTAGCGACCAATATGCCAAGTATGTCTGTGTGTGTGCATTCAGAGAGCGGGAGAGGAGTGAGCCAGTGTTCTAGGATTCATTTGAAATTCATTGCATAATCTTGTTTATGTTCACCAGGATCCATCCCAACTTGAAAAGCACCGTTTATTGCTACGCCATAGCCTTTGGTGGTGTGGCAGAGTGGGACTTTGCCTGGAACATGTTCAAGAATGCTACTCTGGCATCTGAAGCGTCCAGGCTCAGGTCTGCACTGGCCTGCAGCAAAATACCTTGGCTTTTGAACAGGTGTGTTGTGGAAGTATAGTAATGTATTAGCAATGTAAATGCTTTTCAAAGAAGCTAAACTGGTTGTTTATTCAGAATGAAACTCAGTTAATATATCGAGTATTTGAACACAGAGAAAGAGACCCTGCTTTGCAGCATAAGAGCAATTATAGCAATTAAATCTTAATGACAGAACCATTAAAAACAGTAAATGTAACACTGTGAACTGGCGGTGAAGAGATTCGCATCATAGCAGAAGAACAAGTGTCGAACTGAGCTTTCCACATTGGCTTGTACTCTATTTACCACCCATCATGGTGCTATCTAAACAGTACTATTTTAATTATATCCTCACGAACAAATAAATCCTGCTTGTGGATGCTGGCCACCAAGCGTGTTTTTATCTTGTCTGGGATGAGTTTGTTTTTATGCAGTCCCATAAACTCATCAACAAATGCACGGTAATTCATTTTTAATCAGTTTGTCAGTTCGATCAGTAAGCGAGTGGGTTACGCTCCCTAAGGACTCCTTTCCAAATAATGAGGGTGGCCATGCAAATTAAAGAAAGCCTTTAGCAGCCCCCCCACACCTCCAAGATATTAATCTGTGTGTTATTGCCTATAAATGTGCTATAATTATGTTAAATATTAATGTGGTCACAATAGAAAATAGTTCCCATATACCATTAATGCTACTTTATCTCCTGGTCTCTGGTTGTTGATTCCCTCCCTTATAGTTTAGTGCTGCATAAATAAAACTGAATTAAACTGAGCAATATCTATAGCAGGCATTGTGCAGTCACAACTTTGAACGATCTCAGATATTTTCCATTTTCCCTCGGAAATAATCGTTGCATGTGGGTATATCGTTGACTCAGGTATCTGGAGTACACACTAGACCCAACTAAGATCCGTAAGCAAGACGCCCCCTCTACCATCCAGAATATTGCCCGAAATGTTGTGGGGATGCCGCTAGCGTGGAACTTCGTCAATGCTAGATGGAGTTACATCTTCCAACAGTGAGAGCTCTATCCTTTTGTTTCTAAATAGTCAATACTCACAAGGTAATTGTTAAAGACAGAAAAGAATTTTAAAAGCTGAATTTAACAGCAGGATTTAAGTAGTAATCACATTTCTTTAGGTGCAAATCCTGCTGTTTTTTTCACTTACTTGCCCAGTTTGAGTTTTCAAGCATGACTACCTACCTATTCCTAATTCCTTCTGCTGAACTACAGCTTTTTTTCCTTTTCTTTTCTTTTTAGATATGGAAAAGGATCATTTTCCTTCTCTAATCTTGTCAGTGGAATCACACAGAGATTCTCTACAGAGTATGAGTTACAGGAGGTATGAAAACAACAAAACCACAACCACACAGAAAAACACAGAATTTCCCTTTGGGCATTTGGGAGAAAATAAATACAACGATTGCTAAAATTCTGATTTTGTCTGTTTGTATTTGCTCTTCTCTCCAGCTTAAAAGATTCAAAGAAGAAAACCTCAGTGTTGGCTTTGGTTCTGCCACCATTGCCCTAGAGCAGGCCATAGAGAAAACAACGGCTAACATCAAGTGGGTGACAGAAAACAAAGCTGAAGTGCAGCGGTGGTTTGCTCAGGAGTCCACGTGAGAACACCAAAAGCCACCACAGTCCTTTTTTCAGTACTGACAGTGATATGTAATTAATGAAAATCACTATAATCATCGGTAACAACAAAAGCCTTTTCTCTTGACAAATGCACAAGGACTGTTTAACTTTTGTCACACAATAGCCCACTTAACATCAGCTTTAGTGCAAGGGAAGGGAAGAGACCAAGACAGCGTGTTTGTTTTCTACATAGTTTACATTATAAGTTGATGCTTATCATGATTTATACTATTACCTAAGGCAGTAAATTTAATGTAGCGCAGTAGAGGCAGAGATTAATGGCAGCAATTCTACAAGTGGTTAAAATCGGTTGACAACAGCTGTTTTCATGCATGTGCTTGAACTTTCCTAGACAGAGGTGCATGGGAGAAATGTCTGATGTGGTGGGATCAGACATTAAACAGTCTCTATCCTGCCAACGTCCTAGTACAAAGTGCATATGATGTGCGGTTGAAGCCATGGTAGAATTATACTTAAAATAATTCACTGAATTACAGCAAGTGCTGACCACTAAACACAATAAAGTATTGCCAGAAGTAAGAGCACATCTAAAGTTGTGTGCTTCCTGTCACCTGGGGAAAAGGACAGCTTTAGACAAATGACCTCATTCACAAAATTTTAATTTTATCATGTGATTGTTTGCTTCCATCATGTGACATCATGTGTCACACCAACACTGTCCTCCTCCTTCCCTGCATCCATAAACCTCCTCTATGCTTTTCTTCTTCTCCTGCTGCTTGGCAGCTCTATATATTTAACATCCTTTGTCCAATATATCCACTGTCTCTCCTCTGTACATGCCCAAACCATCTCAGCCTTCCTTCTCTAACTTTACAACACCAACCAAAAATAATGGACACCTTTTAGGTGAAGGGTTTCAGGCATGGTTCCCTGGGAGGAGACTTGCGAACACCTTGGTAGCCCTCCTGAAGAGCTGGAGGAGGGGACTGGGGGTTTATGCTTCAGCAGCTACACTGTAACCGTAACTACACATCAGGCTGATGCAGCTCACAACTATTGAGATTGTCCAGTTCAGCACTGTCGATTCCTCCCATGCATTTCTGGCTACTTTTTTACTACATTTTTTTTTTAAATTCATCAGCGAAAGAATAACATTGTGTCAATACAAGAAATAATGATCATAGCACCAATGTAAGGGCTCACAAACTTCAGCAAATTGTTGCAGGGAGATTGCTAAAACTATCTGAATGGATGTGAAGGAAGGTCCAAAGAAGTGGTTATGTTTGCCCCAGAAACAAAGAGTGAGGGGGAAAAGTCTCAGTATTTCAAAGTAAATGCCAGCAGCTACAAACTGTTTCAGCGATAAACATTTTACTAATCAAGTTTAATTTTTTTTTAAACCATCATCATTCTCAAGTAGACATTTTGGAAAGGTGTGGCTTTTCTGATTTCCTCCTCAGATACTGTTGTTTTATTTTCCTTAGTTGTCAAATTCATCAGCTTTTTTGCTTTCCTTACAACACCTTCATGGCTCCTCCATGATTGCCATTGAGATAAACAATTTTCTTCCTTACAAAGAGAGGTGACAACATGCAGATAACAAGCACAAACCCATCCATTTAAAATCATTCTGATTCTCCAGATGATTCCCCACACTTGTGTTTATCAATAAGAATCATTTATCCTGATTCATAAGCCAGTCACAACTGTCTAGCAATCAGGCAAAGATCTCTTACCTGGATCTGATTCAGGTGTATGATGAGGGCGCACTCAGTTACTGTGCTCCTGTTCTTTGGAGCAAGCCGGCTGCTGACCTGAGATCAGTTATATCTGCGCTGACGTTCAAAAACAAACTCCAAATCTCTTTGTTCACACAGGCCTGCACTCAATAACTAAGCCTGTTTTTATGTGTTTATCTTCTGTGTTAAGCACACTGAGCTTACATATGTATATATTTTCCAAAGTTCATGTGTGAAAACAGCTTGCCTTTAATCCAAACTTCATGTCACATTTCAAACTGATTTCCCATGAATAAACTTGCATTTGTACCTGTTCTTGGTGTGTTTATTGCAAACGGGCAGTAACTCTAGATTCATCTTTTCTTCCCATCGTTGTTTACTGACAATTTCTGCAGCTTTTTTGAGTTTTTAATTGTAGTGGATGAGTTTACATTTAGAATAATAGTACATGTTTCATTACGCATTTTGGCTTTTTTAAACTTGTTACATTTTTAATCACCTGCCAAGTCAAAATAAAAGACCTGCAAACCCTAAAGAGTTAACATAGATGAATGGAGTCATTTTTCCCCAAGGAGCATTGACAGGTTAAAAACTTTCCCATAAAATATCTCATTAGAAACATAATAGGTTATAAGAAGGGTTGTTTTTCTAAGCTGAGCGCTTGGATGAACTTTCCCTGTCAGGATAATCTCACTGCAGGTCTAATCCTGACAATACAAGCTCGTACTTTTAGCCGCAGGAATGTAATCAGATGGAAAACAGAGTATGTGATCAGAGTCTTTTCCGATATATTTTTAAAAGGAATCATCTGCCGGCTGCCTGAAATGCTTTTGTTACTTTTTCTGTGTAATTACAGTCTTACTGGAAGCCTCAGCATCTGTCAAAAAAGATATATGGGATAAAGATATCAAATTAGTCATTCTTGTTTCTACTCGTTTGAAACAGATGTTACACTTCAAGGTGAAAAGATAAGGTTAATAAAACATTATTCACTTTCCTTTTACACGCTATTGATTTTTTAACTCATATAGAGTCTGTTTATAATGACGGTGAAGCTGCTTATATTCAATTTAATTAAATTAATTTAATTTCTTACTTAGCTTAATTTTAATTACTAAACGAACAAAAGAACAGGACAATTTAGGATAAGAGCGGAACAAACAATGTATGCAAATAATGACAACAACAATGATAATAATTATGATAATAATCATTATCATCTTCTTCTTATAGTCATGGTCGTCATATGATCATCTCGGGCACATGCGGCGTATTCCTGCATCTGTAATGTAGTGCATTATACAATATCTACAATATCCACACAATAAAGATGGGAATACAAATGGAAAATTGATATAATATAACATTATAGTATTAACGTAATTGTAATAGTAATAATACCTCTATCATGAAATACTTAGAACACAGGTGTGCTGGAGAAATGCCAGTAAACATAACATTGACTTTATCAAGACAAGACACAACAAGTCCAGAAGTATCTGCAGTTCTAGCTTTGACATCAGTGCTTGTGTAATAGCTTCCCATGTTATTTGTACGCAGTCATTGTTGGCTCAAATCTGAGAAAGTCCCAGCTGATTCAGTAAGTATTTCCCTTTATCATCAAAGTTACAGGACATATTTATTCTGGTTAAGCAGCCACTTTGCTCAAAGTTTGGAGGACAACAAGATAGTTGGATCCACAGGTGAAAAGGAAACTGAAACCAGTGACTTGATGCTAAGTAAATTCAAGGTACGAAAAATGTTCTACTGTTTGTGTTTCTAGCTGAAGGTTTAGAGTTGCAATGTATTTTTAGTCATTTTTATGCCTGTGTGTGTGTGCGCACTTTGTTTAACCATTTCAATCATGAAGTATGAAAAAAGCAAGACTATCCGAAGTGATATGCATCAAAAAATGTTTTTGGTTTTTTGCGAAAACTACTTTAAAATAGAAAAAAAAGGATAGAGAAAGAAGATTTTTTTTTGCTTTTCTTCAGAAGAGAGGGTTGAGAGTAGTGTTTGGGTTATCACTTTAGATCTCACACTTAAGACCACCCACACAGCAAAACTCATTCATAAGATGATCAAGAGAACGTTGCCAAATATCTAAACGTGAAAGATGAAAAACCTTTGAAGAACATGTCTAAACGTTTAAAAGTTTAAGGACACTTCACATTAGATGACCACCAGAACGTTTTTGAACCAAATTTAACCCCATTTTAGTCTTGATGGGTTTGTACTATCTTGACATTTTTTTTCACACATCTAGTCAACAAAAAGGCCCGAAGGATTGATAATCAGTTGAACTGGACTGAATTAAAGTCTTTGTAAAATCCCAAAAAGACAACTTTTAATAAACTTTAGATGTTAAAGGGCCTCTTTTTAAAGGCTATCACTGCCTGAGGCTGGAAAACAATGTCCACATATGTCTGCTACTTGGTGGGGAGAAAGATCAAAGATAAAATGTACATTTAAACAATTTATTTTGCATCATAGAAACATTGGACAGTGCAATGATTTGCATACTTTTCCAGAAAAATAATTTAAGGATAGAGACAAGCACAAAACTCTCATTTCAGTTTACTGTTATATTGGAGTCAAAGCATTTTTTTCTGTTCCTACAGAAATCAGAAAATATTTTTGTGATTGAAACATATTTCATATAAATCAATCTAAATGATACAGTGGTTTGCAAAAGTATTCGGCCCCCTTGAACTTTTCCACATATTGTCACATTGCAGCCACAAACATAAATCAATTGTATTGGAATTTTACGTGAAAGACCAATAGAGGTCTGAGGATCTGAAAACTGCTGTTCACAAACGCTGTCCATCTAATCTGACTGAGCTGGAGCTGTTTTGCAAAGAAGAATGGGCAA